GCTGTCCTAAAAATAGCATCCATCAATCTCCCATACATTTCAAAACAGTGGCTCTAGCACCAAGGGTACCAAGGCCCATGTTAGTGATGTTATTGCGATGCTCCCACATGTTGGATGCAGCTGTACCAACTGATCCAAATACCAACTGATGGAGAAATGCGTAAGAAAGGAACTAAGTGAAAAAAGCAAAAATAGAATACCTCAACATAAGCAGAAGCGTCCTCCAAGAAATGCTTCATCAACGTCAGGGCCGATGGCACTGATTCACGCCAAAATGGCACAAACGCAATCAATGCGCGATGACATATATCAAACACTAAATCTGGCTGCTCCGGCTCAATATACCAACCCACCGTAAAGTCAACAATATCCTGAAAAAAAAAAAAAAAAAATCAACACCGGTTTCAAGGATCCGGAAAAAAACACTGGGAATCGGATAACTTTTTAATAAATATACAAAAAAATAGCTTCAACCTAGTCTTTCATTGTTGTAAGCCCCGCCGTACTACAGGTTTAAGAGTTTCATACCATCAGTAAAATGAAAAAAAAAGCCTGTAATGATGCTATTGACATGACTATGATCCTCAATAGTCAGGGAATCAAGTCAACGATAAAAAAGAAAACAAATTGACCTCCGTGAAGCTGTTTATTCAGTTCAAAAAATCTGATGAAATAAAGGTTTCATTAAACAAAAAAATAAACCAATCCGTAAACGGAATTTTGATAAATTTTATGACTAAAATCCTTCTAGTCACCGAGGTATTCCACAGCGGTCTAGAAGCATAAACGCCCGAAATAAAATAGTGATGCTAATCATATATATGTAAATATATACGTACACACATATATATACACACACATACCTATACACACACACGTGCACACACATATTATATACATGCACATATACATACACATGTACATACATACCTACACACATATATGCATACCCACCAAGGACATCAGAGAATGAAAATGGCTAAAGTCTTGCCAAAAGCGCTTGCTGAAAAAACCGTCGAGCTGCTGTTAAACTGTTCAGGAGACGAAATGAACATTAGGGTCGCCAACAAACTGACCACCAGAAGATACAGCATGGTCAGCGCAAACCGAAAAGTTACTAGCTGACGATAAGTTGAAGATAAGACGATAAATTAATTATAGCTGTGTAAGAAGAATTCCAAATATAAATGTACATACGTCAAAACTCTGCTTGAAAACAGCCGGAAAATACTGCGCAACGGCCAAGCAAATTTCCAATATTGATACCAAAACAACGGGGGACACGATTCGTTCCAGCCAACTTTTCATAGCAGCCATAACAGCCTAAAAAACTGTCATACAGAAGCGGAGGAGAGCAGAACTTTTGTGTTATAGCTAAATCATCTAAAATTGCCTGGAACTACCTTAGCGCTAAAACTATAACGAAGTTGCAACGATACGAACAAGAGAATCGTTCATTTTGGGAAAAAAGGCAAATTTGCAAAGCAGAACCGGTAAATGCTAATAAATCTGCGATTGCCGAGTCCCTGAACAGCTTACCTCAACATCTTGTGGTTTGATTCGCGGCTGCCATGAGTTTTTTCCAATGAAATTTAGCGATGCGGCAATAGCATTCAAAACAGCTGCTTTGTCTCCTTCATTCTTCTCTTGCAATGGCTTCACCTCATCAAAAATCACTTTCAGAAAC